CTGGTATAGTTGAGTTACCAATCTGTATTGAAAACACTTGTAAATTATTTTCATTTTTGTTAGTTCCATCCTTAGAATGCTCAATCATTTTGGGTAGTGATTTTTGTAAGTCATTTGGTTTGACCTTGAATTTCAAGGATGATACATGGGAGGTTCTTGGTAATAGCGATATCAACGTCGTCTCCATCGTATCTGTTGAAGTTGATGATGCTAGTACCAACAACCAAACGTTCACTTTTGAGAATTTACCACCTGAAGATATTCAGACAGTCGATAGTGTGATGGCTGAATTCGAGACACTTGCTGGATTTGCAGGAAAGTTAGGGCGTACAAATAAAATGGTGTATACTATAGATACAGGAGATGCTAGGGCGGTTAAACAACGTCAATACCTAATGTCGCCTTATATGTTGGAACATTTAAACAAGAAACTTGATCACATGTTAGAGCTTAATATTGTAGAACCTTCTAGTAGTGAATGGTCGTCTCCAGTGTTATTAGTTAAAAAGGCTAACGGCGAATTTAGATTTTGCTTCGATGGACGCAAGTTAAATTCTTCAACGAAAAAGGATAGCTATCCTCTACCTTATGTAGATCGTATTCTGTCTATGTTGAGAAATGCTCGTTTTATTTCATCAATTGACCTTTAGTCGGCATTCTGGCAGATTCCTCTCGACGATAGTTCGAAGGAAAAAACTGCTTTTTCAATCCCAGGAAGGGGATTATTTCACTTTAACGTTTTGCCATTTGGCCTAGCAAATGCTGCCCAATGCCAACAAAGGTTGATGGATGCTGTATTTGGTCCAGAGTTGGAGCCACATGTATTTGTTTACATAGATGATCTTATCATCATTTCATCAACATTTGAAGAACATATCAGACTGCTAAAGGAAGTAGCTTGTCGTCTGCGAGACGCAAATTTAACTGTTAATTTTGACAAATGTGTCTTTTTGAAACCTTCTTTGAAATACCTTGGGTATATAGTCGACAGTTTCGGTTTACGAACAAATCCCGACAAAGTTTCTGCTATTGTGAATTTTCCAACACCTAAGACCACAACTTAGATAAAAAGATTTGCTGGTATGTGCGGATGGTATCGCAGATTTATCCCAGAATTTTCAACTATTATGGCGCCGATTAATTCTCTTCTTCATGACAAAAAGAAAGGTCAGAAAGTCACTTGGTCAGCAGACGCTGAAATAGCATTTAAAGTAATTAAGGAAGCCTTAATATCTGCACCAATTTTATCCAGTCCAAATTTTAAATTGCCATTTTGCATACAGTGTGATGCCTCTGATGTTGGGTTAGGTTGTATACTTACTCAGACTCAGGATGGAGTCGAAAAAGTCATTGCATTTGCTTCTAGGAGCCTTTCTCGGTGTGAAAGAAACTACACTACTACAGAGAAAGAGTGTCTCGCATGTATTTTTGCTTGTGAAAAATTTAGACCTTACATTGAAGAAGTTAATTTTACAGTAATCACAGATCATGCTTCTTTGAAGTGGTTATTTAACATGAAAGACCCATCTGGTCGTCTAGCACGATGGAGTGTAAAATTAAGTCAATTTCAGTTTGAAATATTTCATAGGAAAGGTAAATTTAATGTAGTACCTGATGCACTTTCTCGTAGTCCTGTGGATCCTGCGCCTGAAGAGCCATCCACATCATGTCTTGTTGTAGCTACGACTGATAATATTGATAATAATGTCTTAGATTTGGATTTAGACAACTTGGACAGTTTTTATGAAAAAATGCGTAGACAAATTTTAGAGTCTCCAAATTCTTTTCCTCAGTGGACAGTTAAACAAGGTTATCTATATAAATTTGCTCCTTCTAAAGTACCCATAGATACTAATATTTCAGATTGGAAATTACTTGTACCTAAACCTCAGAGACGAAAAATTATTCATATAAATCATGACTTAGCCACAGCTTCTCATGCTGGATATTCAAAAACAGTTGCTAGGGTTCAGCTATCATACTACTGGCCTAGAATGCGACGGGATATATGTAGGTATGTGAAATCATGTGAGGTCTGTGCTTCACAAAAATCTCCTAACTATGCGAAGTATGGATTAATGGGCGTGGAAAAAAAGGTCTGTTTTCCATGGCAGGTTATTGCGCTTGACTTAATGGGTCCTTTACCCAGAAGTAAAAACGGTTTTCAGTATATTCTCGTTGTCAGCGACTGGTTTACTAAGTATCCAGTAATATGTCCGCTAAGAAATGCGACGTCTCAGGCAATTTTGAAATTTCTTGAAAATGACGTTTTTTTGATTTATGGGGTTCCCCAACGTATCATCTGCGATAATGGCAGACAGTTGATAAGTAATTCAATGTAAAAGTTAGTTTCCGATTATGGATCAAAGATTTCTTATACTCCGTATTACCACCCTCAGGCAAATTTTGTTGAAAGATCAAATCGAACAATTTGCACAGCTATTAGAAGCTATATAGGGAATTCTCACAAAGAATGGGACAAAGGATTAGGAAAAATTGGTTATGCCATTAGAACGGCTGTACACGAAGTCACCGGGTATAGTCCCGCTTTTTTAAATTTTGGACGAATTGTTCCATGTAATGGAAATTATTATGGCAATATTTCATCAGATGATTTGGAGTGTGGTAATAGGGATGTATGGAAAGAAAATTTGGGTAATCTTAAAGACATTTATAAAGAAGTTGAAAAAAAGTTAAATTTAGCTTATGCTAAAAATTCCAAGTATTATGATCTCAGGCGGAAAGAGAAAGAATTTTTTGTAGGCGATAAAGTCTGGAAACGGAATATCGTTTTGTCTAACGCAGCAAACAGTTTTAGTCAAGAATTAGTGCCACGATATGTACTATGTACAGTAGTGTACCTACGTTACCATCAGGCCAAGATGGCCGCCGCCGGAAGTGACGTCATAACCGTTCCTGTGGTGGAAGGTGTTGGCTGCACGGAAGTGACGTCACAAGATGGCCACCGGAAGTGACAGATGACAAGTGACAGGTGACAAGTGACAGATGACAAGTGGCAGGTGACAGATGACAAGCGATAGGTGACAGACGACAAGTGACAGATGACAGACAAGTGATAGATGACAGACAAGTGACATATGACAAGTGACAGATGACATGGAACACAAGGAATGACACGTTGAAGTACTCTGAACTTAGCCCCCTAGACTCTGGACTCTAGTGCTTATGGGCGTGGACATTCTTCTTCTTCTTTTTGAAAGATGGTGGATGACGTCACAATCTAGTGACTGTGCTCACCAGATTTAGGTTGGTATTACTACAATTGGTAGCACTTTGTTACAAGGTCACCCGATATGCATGTTGGAGAGGTGGTCGATGAGTCATCCTTATCTCGACTTCATAGAACAATGCCTCCTTTGTTTGCCATATTATGTTATCTAGCCTTCCTCTAGAACAATGCCGCCTTTGTTCTCTCGACGCCACTGTCAGCGTTTCTTGGAATTCCGGCTATTGGATAATTCGCGACGCAATATTATACGAGAACAATGCCGCCTTTGTTTGCAGGTGTCCGATTACGTAACAACCTCATCCGATTGCATCATCCTTATCTGTGTGAGAACAATGGGTCCATTGTTCTGACGCAGGTGGCCGATGAGTCATCCAACAGACATGTTCAAACTTGTTGTTGTCACGAGCCATCAATCATGGATATTGGATGTGTCTCAAAGCTTATATCAGCTGTGCGCATGCGTAGCTACCACTACCACTATTCAGACTTGACCTTTGAATCAGTGTTACAATGTCCTTGGACGAGTACAGAAGCAAGTTGGAGGAATTTGGGGAGCGGGTTCGACAGCTGAACAAAGACATAACATTGTACGAAGATAAAACCAGAGTATTGAATCAATTGGAGAATCTGAGTTTGTGGGATAAAGTTTTCAGCAGCTGTGGAAGAGTACCAGCAGTAGAGGTGCCTGTTGAGCAGAGACGACACATCCAGCCTCAAAATGTCACGGGTGGCACTCATAGTTCTGACAGCAATTTTGAATAACGTATTGTATACAAATGTTCCCAACGATGTCAAGAACATGGCGATATGTTTCAATGACTCGAAAGAAGATTGCAATCGATCATCGTGGACAGCGATGCGAAATAAGTTGGTGAACAATGGATGTCTACCAGTATTCTACAAAGAGATACCAGAGACGAATAATTCCTTCTTCAAACTCAAGTTGATGTTTTCCGGTGGATCTGAAGAGGATACCGACTGGCAAACTATAGGAGCCCCCACAACAGGAATACAGAATGAATTTAATAAAATGTTCATATTACTAGGTTTGACATTAGCAGCTACGTTCGTTTTGATTGTGAAAGGCCTAATGAAAGCTGGGTACATATATCGTGAATAAAATGATGGAACTTATACAAGGTGTTTCAATAAAACTCCCATCCTTATCATAATGTTTATTGAGCCAAACACAGTACATCTTCATTTAGGTAATATTACATTCATAAACCACTGGTAAAGTTGATCAACGTTCCGCTGGGCACACATATATTTTCCGTTGGCGTGGTTGGGGCAGTACGATATAGTTTGCTGGTAGGTTTTACTGGAACAGGGTGTTCCATCATACAAAGCAACATCGTATACAGTTGGGAATACTTCAAGTTCTTCACATTTCGTCTTCAAAAAGTCAGCTTTCTGATTGCCCCTCACGTACATACATTCAACCGAATGCAAGAGATATTTTTCCAAGATGTTGTTCAGTTCCGTATATTCAACATCACCAGCATCATATGGTATTCCATGGACGAATTTCTCTACATAACATGTAGTTTTCTTGTCACGTCCACTAATGGTAGCAAACGGTGTAGGCGGTTTGAATAGGAAGTTGGATCTCTGGCGGCCAATTTGAATGGTCAGCTCTTTCGGGTGAAAAACACTGTCAAGAGTGAAGCCTTGAATGTCGACAAGTGCGATCCTCATGACGGCTGACGATCGAATGCGAGCTCGAGCAGTTTGCAGTTGGTAATTATACTCAAATCAAGGTTCTGACGACTTCCGTTAGAGGGAAGTACTCTAGCAGACAGTCATGTACGATGATGCAATAGGCTTTGGTGTCAGCAGGGAATCCTTTATCGGCTTCGATTTCAAGCTTTATATCAACTGTCGATGATTTCATGGTCTCTTCCTGCCTCGAGCAATCAATCACAAATAATGCATGCTGTTTGAATTCCCCATAATCCAAGATTGGGTGAACCTCCGTCGAATGTGAATAGCTCGAATAGAACCTGGTATAGTTGTAGTAAGCAAGGGTGTAGTCTTGTTTAGCGAAATCCAGCTGCATTCTCTCATTAGGCCAATATTCACCATTAAGGGCTAATCTGATACTAACTATGCTCGTGTTATCAAAGTGGGTAGCATCAGCTTCTGCATTGTCACGTTTAGATTTCTGGAAGCACACAATAACGTACCGAGGACGTTCCACCGAAGCGCTCGTTTTGACTGCCCAAATTTCACTTTTTGCGCCGTTTGTAAGAGCAGGCAATTGGCTGAGGTCCCATTTCCTGAATGGAATCAGTATAGGTGTATCATTTTTGATGGGTTGCATCAGTTGTAGTTTGATTTCATCGTTCGGAAATACGTGCTTCACTTTTAGCACTACACTATGTATTTGTACTTCAACTGTAGTAGTAGTAGTGGTTGTAGGTCCATTGGGGAGTTCCTGTACTATCACGCAATCGTTATCATTACGAGCTCGAATCAGTCGGATTGTTTGTTTTCCATAGGTGATTGAGGTGTAGTCATTGAAAACGTTGAACAGGTGCTTTAGTGGTATCAACAAACTGAATGTCTTGTCAATTGCATTCAAAAGCGGTTTATCAGGATACGTCCATCCGGCTGTGGATAAGTGTTTGGAATCATCAGGTTTATAGCACATGAATCCTCGCACACTACTCACGATTCCTGGATCTCTGACTACTTCTATCTCTCTTGCACTCTGCACATAACTGCAAGAATCGAATAGAAATGCTCCACAGTTGGGGGCCAAGTACACATTTCCAGCTCCTTGCACATTCAACGTTCCTTTGATTTCCAGCAAAGACTCATGCATTGCAAAAAATGTGTCTGCTTGATTTATGTTGATTTCCACCATATCATTGTTATTGAAGGATTTGACGTATGGGATGTAGGAGCGATATTCTTCTTTTCGAATAGTTTCATCATATCTGGGCCGACGATACAGATCAAAAATTGGGTTTGTGTGGTTGAATGTTGGTGCTGTTGATTCTTCCGAACGAATATACTTGCGCTTGTTCATTTTTCACTCGTAATCCGATTGCTTGCAGAAAGAGAACGTTTTCTGGAGTGAGCTCCTGTCTCTTCGGAGGTCCCGTTGATACTGAGGAGTTTATGGTTAATCTTTTATTATCAACTACTAGACCCATTCAACGTTCTTGCAAGTCCAAGTGTAGGGTGCCCTTTTCTCCTCGGAAATTAACAGGTCTTAGGTCCTGATCCAGCACTCTAACGGTAATGTTAGTGATGTCTCTCAGGCTACTTCTCACAGGTAAATAGAGAGGGGTATTTGGACGTTCGTTGATAGCGTAACCAGGATCTACGGTGATGGGGAAGCTTAATATAGTGTGAGCAGGCCTGTCTGCATAAAACGACCCTTCAGTGATGTTGCAATCGAAATGTAGGCTTGATACTTTCAGAATGTTCACAGGACGATCTGAACAGTGAACTCGGCCAGGTTCCAAGATCCTCTTCGAAAATCCCAACAACTCACCAAAGCTGTTATCTTCCTCAAAACTGATGGTATGTTGTCGACTATAGATTTCACACTTCAAAGTATTGTTGTTGGGCTTCAAAGTGAAATCTGCATCAGCTTCTTGAATTTGCCTCCGAATGTAATCCTCAATATTTTCTATCTCATAACAGCCGGTCGGAAACTGAATCTCTTTCAGTACTTCACGATTATCGTTCTCGTAGTAGTAGAACTTTTCACCATCAATATTCGGTATGGAATGATAGGTGTGAAATCCTAGTACAGCTATGTAATAGCTTTTCAGAGGGTGCAGTAGTATCGGTGAGGAGGGTGTGAAAGAGAACTGGTTGGTGGTACTCGTCAAGGTCAACAGTAGAGACATGACGTACCTAATGACACACAGCTATACTTATGAATATTTATTCCAAGACAACTCTACACTTCAAGAAATAATTACAACCATGACATTCAAACTGTGAGCTGACCGGTCCATCAACGTGGGTTCGAGCATCAGGTCTATTATAGTGGATGTAACAAGGCAAACGAATTCTCAGATCAAAGTTCTTCCTATAGTCCTGTGGTAATTTATGCCAAACATCCAAGAGTTCCCAAGGTCTAACATGTTGGATCAGATAGTTGATGGGGAAGAGTGCCAATTCTTCTGCGGAAAAGTCTTGCAACGCCTTCTCACGGTGGAGATATGCTAAAACGGCTTCCATTGTACAGGAACTCCAGACAGAGATGACCACAGTTGATTTGGTTATATTTCTGGAATGGATCGTTATTGTAATAGAGTTTGACTTTGCCCAGATATTGGACAAGTTCTCTCGGTGGCTTCAGGCTACCGAATGAATCGAAATACTCGACGACATCATTTATCTTTCTGTAAGCTACCCAATGAGTGCCTTGGTTCTTTGACACGTCCAAATTTAGGATTGCAGATTCGCGTTGACGGGGTCCACTGCTTGGTAAGTTGTCACGCATGAAAACACCCCGAAAATGTGGGATTCTCAAATATTTAACATACTTTGTCAACTCGACATCATACAACGGTCGATTGGGTAGCTTCATCGGAAGTTTTTTTGCTTTTTCAAAAACAAGCCGAAACCTCCTTTGGCGTTTCTTCTCAAGTACAGTCCTTTGCCAATAGTTTCCATAGCCTTGTTATGTCGATGGTCTTCTTCCATCTTTTTCTTCGCATTCCTAGCGTCAATGACAGTCTTTGCGATTGCTCCAGCACCTCCAGCTAGAGATCCTAGTGCACCAAGAGCAGCAAATATTGGTAGCAGTGGTAGAATCCCACCGGATTTGGCATCGAAAGGAATTATTCGTGGTATTTTCACTTTCTTCCTTCCACCTGCTTGTTTAACGGCATGCCTAGCAGCTTTCAAAGCAAACGATGCAGCCTGTTTCAAATTGGTCGAGGGATTCTTCTTCAACGTCTTCCCGATTTTCCCCACGATATGTTTTTTGAAAGAACATCCCATCCCGAGTTTGCGTTTCACCTTCATCCCGGAAGTAACTACTAATGCTGCAGCTCTTTCACCGAACTTGGCGTCTCTCGACCTCACACGTTCCCAGGCAGCGTTCTCCAACACCGAATCCGCTTTATGACGTTCTTCCAAAGACGTGTTCTGTGAATATGCAATGTCGTGTTGTTTGCAGGCAACGTCTAAGGGATTGATGCCAGGATCACCACGTGCAAGCCGTTTCTGAAGTTTGGTTCCAGCTGTAACGTAAAATCAGTTATTCAATCTCTAACCTCACTTTTGTACTTACGTCCACAGTATTGATAGCCACCAGGTAGGTGTACCTCGAATGGTAATTTGTTTATGAGAGAATTCAAAACACCCTCCCCCTTGTACACAATCATTGGAGTCTTTGCACCTCTATCACGAGATGAAAGTCATTCAACAAGACCAGACGCTACCTATCGAAAATTTGGACCTCCACACGTCACCAAGGACACCGAATAAACATGGAAAATTATTACCCAACTCGTTTCGAGCAATCATGTGTGGACCGAGTGGTTGTGGCAAGACAAACGCCATGCTTTCGTTACTCTTCAATCGAAATGGCGCGAGATTCAAAAATGTCTACGTGTACTCCAAGTCGTTGTATCAACCGAAATATCAGCTACTTCAAGAGGTGTTGGATGCAGTGAAGGAGGTGGGATATTTTCCGTACAGAGACAACGATGAAATAATAAGCCCATCTGAGGCGAAACCCAACTCGATTTTCATATTTGACGATGTGGCGTGTGATGAGCAACAAAAAATTCGAGAATATTTTTCAATGTGTAGACACAAAGATATCGATGCTGCCTATCTTTGCCAAACTTACTCTAAAATTCCTAAGCAATTATTGAGAGACAATTGTAACATGGTGGTGCTGTTCAAACAGGACGAGATCAACTTGAAGCATGTGTTTGATGAACATGTCTCTCCAGACATGAGCTTTGACGTCTTTAAAAAATTGTGCTCCGAATGTTGGAGTGTCACATATGGTACTCTAGTGATTGTCAAGGATTTTGATTTGCATAACGGCAGATATCGCCAAGGTTTCGACAAATATATAAAAGTGTAGACACGTCATTCGACATCATGAGGTCGTCAAGTCAAGTCATGCGCAGAAGAAGAATGCCATCCAAACGTGATGACGATCAGGCTGCAGCACGTAAACGGAAAATTGCAGAGCTCACGCGTACAATCAGAAAAAAGTACTTGGCCTTGAAACTGGGTAAATCTGAGGAGGACGAATCGCTGAACAAAATGTTCAAGCCCATATCCAAACCATTGGAAGAAATTGTGAAAACGTCAAAGGCCAATCGTGATTTACTGGCAAGAGCCCAGTTTAGCACCAGTATGAAGAAAGAAGAGCCACCTGAACTGAAAAAAGAAGAAGAACAGGCGCAGCAAACGCAGTTTATTCCAATGGAAGAGGTGGGTGGAACCGGAAGTTTTGTGGATGATGATGATCAATACGAATATGATGATGATATCCTGTTGAACGAAAATATCACTCCAGAACAAAGTATTCCGTATGATGTAATCGATGAATACCTAGACCAATACCCAGTCATGGTGCATCCATATCTCAGAGAACATTGGGATTACAGCGACAAAATAGATCAGATGTATGGTCCAACTTACGATCCTCAAACGTCGAAATGGTTTCTGGGGACGCAGGAAATTGACTTTGATAAAAGAACTGGATTCATAAAGATTGGTGGTAAACAAGTACGAGGAACTCCAGGGGTGTATCAGCTCATTTTCTATGATGATCCTTCAGATTATAACGATGAAGATATGCAGGCTTACAAGGAAATTTTGAAGCTGAGTGATCGCTATATAAACAAGGATGGAAAATTGAAAGGGTCTAAGAGATGGAAGTATACGAACGTCATCAAGCCACTTATTGTACAGATACGAAAAAACAGCGGTAGGCGTTCAACGATTGGTAGTGGTTTGACGTACAACGAAAACCCCGTGGAATATATCTATTGGGACGATCCAAATGAACTCGTAGACCGCTTGAAACTACTCATTGCTTCTAAGGAAGCTGGAAACACATCACTCGATAATGAAATAGTGGCAATCGTTAATGAACTTCGTGAAGCTAACCTTATATACTGAGAGTCGTCAATCATGAGTCTTGACAAGTTCGGCCGCAGATCAGCTGGCAGCAGCGGTAACATCATCGAATTAGTCCAATTGAAACATAAACTCGTCTCATTGGATACCATCATCAGGCAGTCGACTGATACATTGAGAATGATTGATAGCAAAATAAAGGATATTGAAAAGTTTATTTCAAGACATCCTCCAACGGAACATATGGCTACGAAAAATTATGTAGATGGTGTTATTTCACGAATGAGATCTGATTTCAAGCTGGCTGAGAGAGCTGTTGACAGAGAGGAGATATTGAATGAAGAATCGATGGAACAGACACAATT